GGGACATATTTATTTCTATCTTCTCAAAAACATTATGTTTACTAACGTCGCAATGGTTTGGGTGTATAACGGCACATTTCCTACTTTCTTCGAGCTTAAAATTTGAGCTTAAATAATTGAGCTTAGTCCTGTCTTATGATTTAAATGAACATGTTACACTTTATGTACAGTGAATAATAATTAAACCTATACTTACTTGTTAACATTTACATCAAATTGCATTAACATAATGCCCAGGCTAAACACATCAGCTAGATGATTGTATTCACCACCATGTTTCACCTCGGGTGCTTTATATGATACAGTGCCCACACTTTGTGTATGTTGCGACCCGGACTTTTCCACCTTGGCCAATCCAAAATCGCATAGTTTAACTGTCCAACAATCACCATCCTGTTTCACCAGTATATTATTCTGTTTTATATCACGATGCATTATGCCCATATCGTGCAGGTAACCCAACCCCACAAGTATCCCTTCGACCAGGGTCAGTTTAATAAAATATGACACAGGGCATATTGTCTCATGGGTTTTGCGTTTATATACGCTGGTGATAATATCGTACACTTGTTGTAGGTTGTAATCGCAGTAATCCATCATGATGTAAACCTTATCAAGTTCAACATCTGGTGTACCATGTTCACGCCAGGCTGCGTCATACCTGACCACGTTTACGTGATTTAGCGTTTGCAAAATGCTTACCTCTCGATTGATTAATACATCATTCCTCTCCTCTATAATTAAAATTTTAACAATTATTATAAATATAAACATTTAATTAATTTTTATAAAATAATTCTAATTGTAAATTACTTATACATTACGAGTTATAAATTATTGTAGTACATTAATATAAATGTAAGTTGTAATAATAATAATAAATATTGTATACACTTTTATATTGTAAAAATTACATAATGTTTATTATAGTTTTACCTTTCAGTAACTCAATCTGCTTAATTGCATAAACATGGCCGCCAGCTTTTGATTCAACCTGATAGACTTTACCAAAACTACCATGATTAATAAATTTAAGAATATTATAATCAACAGCAAATCTACCATTCGCCACCACAATTGATTTAACACTATTGCCTTCAGCAGCTGCCATATTTAAATCTACTACAAAATTACTATGCTAAAAAATATTACAAAACATTTAACAAATTAATTTACTAAGACAATAAAGCTTATTAATCACAAGTATTACATATAAATTGATAATAACCATGTTAGTTATAAATGTATATAATGAAGTAAGTAAATGACAATGATAATAAAATTTTTCTTAAATATTACTGTTAATATAATCTTATCTTAATGCAAATAAAATAAATTATTATTACCATATTAGTAAAACTATTATTAAATGCAAATCTTTTATTTAAAATTTTAATAGACTTTATATAAAATTGGATAGACTTACTTTTGTTTATAGGAACAATTAACATTTATTCTATTACAATTAACAATGTGATAATTGGTAAATAAAATTTATTAATTTGCAATAAAATAAATTCCCTATTAACGATAATATTGATATAAGGTAAGACATACCTAGACACTATTAGGCAGGCCGTAGGCCACACTCAGCCGATGGCACACCACAAATATTACACATAAACAAAATTAAACATTTATTGAATTAAGTTTTAGGCCTTAAATTAAAATTATAAATATGCCGTAAAATATAGGTTTTNGTAATGAAGAAAATTGTAACAAAAAATTCACAACAAAACATCAATTATTTCAACACAAACTCTTCATTGCATTTAATTTACTCTTCATTTCAATCAACGAAACACTCATTTTTGTACGAATTCTAAACAACTTTGTATATAAATATTGTTTAATATATAAAAAACTAAAGCATACACTAATGAATTGTTATTTTAGAAAATATATTTTTAGTGTATAAAAACCAGAGGAAACATTCACTTATTCACATAACTATCAATTTTTTAAAAAAAAATTTTAATTTAGGTTTTATACTTTGCAACCTAAAATAATTTGAATGCAATACAAAATATTAATTAAACAAAACCTGTTACCGACATGTGTTTTCATGCATCTACAGTATATATTATGCAGTATTGTATTTTTAAACACAATAAGTGGGTATTTATATTAATACCAGGTGTCCAGGTTAATTACTATTTAGTGGTGATCATGAGGGTTTGTTAAAACACATTGAGTTATTCACCTGTCATATGTTCTGTAATTAATCTATCATATTATAATATAATGTCACAATCAATTATGTATATTGTAATAATTAAATTAATTATTACAATAAGTTATAAATTAATTATTACAATAATTATTACAGTAATAACTGTTGCTATAAGAACGAACAGCATAATTAATATTAATTACCATTAATTCACTTGCTTTACCTCAATAATCAACTTGTATTTAATTATGCTGTTCGTTCTTATAACAACACTTATTATTACCAGTAATTTATTTTTATCAATAATCAATTTAAATATAAAATATAACAGTAAAGCTGTTTAAAACTCAATTATAATTTTTTGTATTTTAATATGATTTTTTAAATTTAGTTAATTTTAAAATATGAAATTAAATGTTTATAAATAATGCAGTCAAACAAAATTTATTACAAATGATATGATTGTATTGAAACAACTTTAATTAAATGCAAAAATTATATTCACAAATTTAAGTTATTTTATTTTAAAAATTTTATAACAAGATGACTAAAATAAAAATCATACGAATAATTGTATCAATTGTAAAATATTATATATAAAAAATACAAAATTACATTTTATAATTAACAGTATTTACAATTATTTTCACAAAGACTGCGACCAATGGTCTACCCGTGAATTTACAGCCTTAACCTCGTATTGGCGGTCAGTCTTTGCTCATAAAAGTATGTAATTTATGCTGTAATATGTTTTGTGTCTTCAAGTGTTGGCCACTTATATGATGGGCAGTGCTTACGGCCTGTGGTTATATGGTTTGGCCACAAGCTTTCGGGAGACAAACAATGATTTTTATTTTTTATGGAATAATGTCTAAAATTAATAATAATTAGAAAATAAAGTATATTTTATTAATCTACACTGTATTTATTTATGTTTGTAATTTATATGTGATCTCAAATCACGTCTCGTAGCAAACAGTTTATTACAGTTATTATTAAGCTCAATTATTTAAGCTCAAATTTTAAGCTCGAAGAAAGTAGGAAATGTGCCGTTATACACCCAAACCATTGCGACGTTAGTAAACATAATGTTCTTGAGAAGATAGAAATAAATATGTCCCGGACTTTCTCCAGTAGCGACCATTTCGTTCGGAAAACATTTAGTCAAAATATCAATGTAATTAGCGACAAATATATTATAGCATATATCAATTGAACGAATTTAATAAGTAGAATAAAAATGTTAGTGTGTTTGTAAGTCAACTAGTTAGTAGTGCTAGTACTCTTCTATATTATTAATTAATTTTAGGTTAATTGAATTATTTAGAAGATTCACAGACACTGCGGTTAAGACCGGAAAATTGCCCCCGCCCCTTTGGGGGAAAGAGTCGATACTTAGGACCCGGACGCCCAGCTCGGGTGACGTGTTTTTGCTTCTTTTTTAGCCGTATTTGAGAACATTGTGTTGACTGACGTCGAGATTGTTTGAGGATATATTGGGGATATAACAGCGCATTATCTACTAGTGTGAAAATAATTTATATCTGATAAAGTGGTTCTCTTTAATACTCACTTATATTAAGTCCTCTTATAATTTATTCACTCATTTCAGTCATAAAAATATTCAAAACATCAATTTTTCAAAAAATGATATCATTATTAACCGAGAGTTTAGGAAATCTATTCACTTAATAATCATTTTAATGACAATTTCTATTAATTTCTCGACTATTTAAGCGCTGAAAATAATTCAATTATTGTCAGTAAAAAGATTTCAATAATAAATTTAGTGTTTTTTTAGTGAATATTTTTGAATAATTTTCTGTTATAAGACATTTTTCAATAAGTTTTGTCTTTATATCCATACACTTATCATCAAGTCTTCAGTCAAATATGGGATCACCTGAAGTGATATTCAAGACGAGTGTTGTCTTCAGAGTTAACGACTTTCTTCCACTAAAAGAAGAGAAAGTTAAGAGCGATATCTTTGTTATTGGATCCGATGAATGCGAAGCACTTATTAGGTGTGTGGACACCAATTGTCTGACATATTTAGCAATATCTATAATATGGAAAAGTTTGGATCACAAAAGTGATGGTCAATACACGGCGTATATCATAGACTCGGAGTCGACAAAAATCAATGAATCCCTGTATCCAAGACATGAAGTGACGCCTAATAGGCCTTTAAGTATTGAAAACTTTGTCCAATTCTCGCAATTAAAGGATCAAAAGGACATATATTTGCCAAACAATATACTAACCATTGGTTTTGATGTCATCACATATAAGACAATTCCGTGGATTCGCAAACAGATGTTTGATTTCAGTATATTTTTTAACAATCACGAGAAGTATGATTACAGACTCGTTGTCCGCAATAAAGAGTTCTTCGCCGCTAAAGTGGTTCTAAGCGGACGATCGCAAGTGTTTCGCGAAATGTTTGCCACAAATATGTGTGATATAACCGATGGAGGCTTTCGTTATGACTTCCACCCGGAAGTGTTTGAAGAGTTTCTTCGATTCATATATTTTAATGATTCAAACAAATTGCAAATAATGGCTAAAGATTTGCTTCCTTTGGCTCACGAATACAAGATCTCTGACTTGAAGAATATCTGCGAGAATTTGCTTTATTTGGCAATTAATCCGAAGAACGCATTCCATGTGTTGGAAGTGTTGACAACATTTAGATCTAAAGCACTGATGAAAAAGAGCATTGAATTTATCGGCGAATATGAATGTCTTGAGAACGAGTGGTACAACACTATCGGCAAACACGACACCGTTATCTGCGAATTGGTCAGTGGTTTGGTCCCAAAGTCTAGATCATTGACTCATACCATGTCGTATACCTATTGTGCGCAAATTATTTGAACACTTTTGATACTCTTAATAAAATATGAAATATTTAGAAATGCTTAATTAATTGCTAAATTAATTAGTTAAACAATTATGTAATTATGTTTAACATAAATATAGAATATTCTTTGAAAAAGTCAAATAAATTGAAATATAATTTGTAAAACATTTGATATTTGCTTAAAAACTTACAGTACTTTACACTGAATATGAATATCAATATTGTTTTTAGCCAATAATGTCGAACAGTATGCGTGAAGAATGTGGTAATCCTATTATCTTTTATTGATGTCAACGTATTGTTTGCATTAAACCATAGGATTTGTGTTCATTTCGTGCATTACTTTCAGGATATAAATCACTGTTTCATAGGATCTATGATTGTATTGAAACGATTTATGATCTCAACAAGTGATTCACACAATTATGGGATCAAATGAAGTGATATCCAAGAGTAAAGTTGTGTTCGGATTCTACAACTCGACGGAAGTGAGATATGATATATTTATCCATGATTTTAGTATTGGATCAGAACAATGGCGAGTGTCTATCATCACTGATCTCATCGATGGTGACAAACAAATGAGTATTTATTTTTTCAGTGATTGCTTGCCTCAAATCGATGTCAGTTATGATTGTGACTACAGTTATCAGGTTCTGGACATCGATGGCCACCCAATCAAACAGTCATCCATTAAACGATTTGAGAATTGGGATTGTAGTCGAGTCAGACATCCGGATCTATTGGATCAATTAGACACGTATTGGCCAAACAGTACACTCGTTATTGCTATTGATATCACTATTTATAGGAAACTGAATGTTATTATCGAAAATAGATTTTGTTTTGAGAATATTTTTAATGACAAAAATTTCAGTGACTGTCGACTCGTTGTCAGAGATAAAGAGTTCTTTGCCTCCAAAGCCATTCTCAGCGTTCGGTCGGAAGTGTTTCGACAAATGTTTACCACAAATATGTCGGAGAAGACAAAGAGTGAAGTGATTATCGATGATATCGACGCCCAAGTGTTTGAAGAATTTCTCCGATTCTTATATACTTTCAAATCAAACAAATTGCAAGAATTGACCGAAAAATTGCTTTACGTCTCCGAGAAGTATATGGTTTTGGATCTGAAGACTATTTGCGAGAATTATGTTTACATTACTCTAAATCTGAAGAATGCGTTCCAAGTGTTGGAAGTGTTGAAGAAATACGGGAACAAAGAATTGATTGAAAAGACAATTGAATTCATTGATGTCTATGGACTTCAATGTCCTGACACTGAATGTGATAACCATTTAGTCGAAGAAAACGCTTTTATCACAAAATTTTTTAGAGGTTTTGTCTCAGAATTTCAAAGACAAACGAAGTCTTATACTATTTGTGCCAACATTTAAGTCAACAAAAGGACTTATTATTTGTTTAAATTATTTTCAATATTATTTCAAATAATTTATTTGTTTATTCAATAATAAATTTTTTTGAATTAATTAATAGTGAGAGAGAGAGAGAGAGAGAGAGAAAGAGAGAGAGAGAGAGAGAGAGAGAGAGAAATTGTCTGCAAAAATTTAGTGGTATTTCTCTCCTCTCGTCGTAAATGTCATTAATTTATTGAATTAAAAGTTTGTTTGAAAAGTATTTTTTGTTGAAATATTAATGACATTTAAAATTAAATGTTATTTTCCCTCTGAAATAGTCATTCAAATACTATTAGTTTCCAATTAAAAATATTTTACTAATAAATTGTGAAAAAGTTTTATATTTTTAGTCAATTTCAGTCAATTTAATGCTAAATACAGACTGAATGTTGAGTTATTTAATAAATACTCAAAAGCTAACTAAAAGTTTGTGTTTTATTTGTACTTTAATTTATTTGTAAAAGTTGTGAACAATGTCATCAGGGTTAGTGCTAGTGACCGGTGCCGCCGGTTATATTGGCTGCCATTGTGTGCTCAGGCTATTGACCGACGGCTATCGGGTGGTGGCCGCAGACAACGGCTCCAACTCTGTGCTAATCAACGGCCAAAAACTGCCCGAAAGTCTGCGACGGGTGGAAGTGTTGGCCCAAAAACCAGTCGAAGAGTTCATTTTCGCCGACCTTTGCAAAGATCACTGCATGGATCAGGTGTTCAACAGATATCAGTTCGACGGTGTCGTGCATTTGGCGGCCATGAAAGGCATCCCTGAGTCCGTCGGCCGACCCCTCGACTACTATAACAATAACCTGAAAGCGTTGGTCAATCTGTTGGACACAATGAACAGGTTTGATGTCCGCCATCTGGTGTTCGGCTCTTCGGCCGCCGTTTACGGCAAACCCCGGTATCTGCCGGTCGACGAGTCGCACCCCACCGGCCAATCGCTGACCAGTCCTTACGCCAAGAGTGCTCACATGTCTGAACAAATACTGCAAGACTTGTGCGCCACCGATGACAATGAGTGGACAGTTGTCTCACTCCGCATATTCAACACAAGTGGCGCTCATTCTTCGGCAGACATCGGCGAACATCCGCTAACTGTTCCCAAGAATCTCATGCCATACGTATCGCAAGTGGCAGCGGATCTGAGGCCAGAGTTGCGCGTTTACGGCGGCGATTACGACACCGTCGATGGCACAGGTATTAGGGATTATATTCATGTGGAAGACGTGTGCGATGCCATCGGTATTGTCCTGAAGAAGATGCTGTCCGACAAGTGGTCCAAATGGTATACGTTTAACGTCGGCAGCGGTTCCGCACATTCTGTCCGTGAGATTATCGCCGCGTTTGAATCGGTGTCTGGACTAACTGTACCCCATGTGGTCACTGATCGCCGGGTGGCAGACATTGGCCAGTGTTGGGCCGATATATCACTCGCTGAACAGATACTCAATTGGCGGCCGAAGAGAAATATTACAGATATTTGCCAATCAGTTATGAATTGGCAGAAAAAGAATAGAAATGGCTTTGATTTAAACAATAATAATGTTTAAAGTAATTGAAAATACTGTTAATTTGCACTCAAATTATGCTATTTATTAAAAACACTTTTATTTAAATCCAAATACAACTAAAAAAATACTTCATTTACAAAATAGACTATAGTTTTAAATCGGAGTATAATTTATAACTAAAATTAAATTCACTAAAAAACATAATAAAAAACACAATAATTGTTAATTAATTAATTACACGATAATAACAATTAAAAAGATCATTTAGATATGAGATAACTAAATGGATGTTCCGTACAGTTGTAGAAAACGGTACAATCGATACTCCGGATGAGTCCCAGACTCCAGGCCTCCATATAAGGGGTTTCGCCCATCAAAGTGGCCAACAGTGAGAGAGTGGACGACCCGCCGGCCCCGCCGTCGCCCCGGAAGTAGTTCAGTACCGCTCGCGGCGTGTAATTGATCAGAAAGTTGGACGTCTCGCAGACCGTTAAATAGCGACAGTCGTCGGTATGAATGCCCAGAATCCAGAAGCCGACCGCCGGTATTGTCTCAAAGAGTTTGCGCAACCAATTGATAGGATTAAAAAAGTCTTTCACTCGTGAGAACAGGTCTGCGGGCGAGTCCTCCTTATCCTCGGAGTCGGTGTTGAGACTGTCTTCGCCCGCAGTATCACTGCTGGCGCTGACCATCGATGACGGGCTGAACAGTGGCTTTAAGACGGGAACCGTGTAGTGACTGGGCTTTCGTATGAATAGATCCGTTTCGTTGATAAACAAATGGTCGTTGAGTTTAACGATATTCGCCACACAAGTGGTGATTGTTATGCAGAGAGTTATGAAAGAAATGTGTGTTATTTTGTGGCACATAATTGCGTTAATTGTAATTATAATAACGATTATTATTACTAAATGTGATGTTTTTTATGAAACTATTTTTGCAAATGATTCAAACTTTTATAGTGAGAAATAATTGACTAATTTTAAAATTCAAGTCTGAAAGTAATTTTTAAGTTATTTTTATAGAGAAATTCATTAGTTATTAGGTCCGTCAAAAAAATCGTGCGCCTCGGAAATCGTTATATCTCCTTAACGGAATGAGCTAGATCAATTCTGTAAACTGTTAAACAAAGATCTACATGTCTAGTTTTTTGTATCAAAAAATTATTAAAATTACGTGACTAGAACATAGAAATTTTTGGGTCATTTTGAAATGCTATGGTTTTAGCCCAGTTGAAAGGGGGGTCGAAAGGGGGCGGGTATGCTATTTGGAAGAGAAGATGTCAATGTATATTATAGCAAAGCTTCATAAACATCGAATTAATATTCTTTCGTAGCGAACAAAATATTTAAGAAATTTGGCCCAATATTTGGACAAAAATAGCCCAATTTTGACCTTTTTATACTACATTTTCGTAGTTATAAAAGGTCGACTTCAGAACAATTTTTTCCCATAGACCTAATGTTAATAAAATTGACAATTTCTCGTAGATGACTGAACTAATCTTAATCAAATTTTGCTATAATATACATTGACATCTCCTCTTCCAAATAGCATACCCGCCCTTTTCCGATCCCCTTTTCAAATGGGCTAAAACCATAGCATTTCGAAATGACCCAAAAATTTCTATGTTCTAGTCACGTGATTTTAATAATTTTTTGATACAAAAAACTAGACACGTGGATCTTTGTTTAACAGTTTACAGAATTGATCTAGCTCATTCCGTTTAGGAGATATAACGATTTCCGAGGCGCACGATTTTTTTGACGGACTAGATATTAATCCATAAGTATTGCGATAAGGGATTATCTGTCCATAAGATTGAATAAATACTCACTAAGCTCAATTATTTAAGCTCAAATTTTAAGCTCGAAGAAAGTAGGAAATGTGCCGTTATACACCCAAACCATTGCGACGTTAGTAAACATAATGTTCTTGAGAAGATAGAAATAAATATGTCCCATTTAAAAACAGAAATATCATATATTTTTAAAAGTAAAACTACTGATAATATTGTATTAAATATATAACGAGACAAAAATACTTAAAACCCATTTCTAACTTAAAAACTTTTGTACAGATATTAGGACTAAGCTCAATTATTTAAGCTCAAATTTTAAGCTCGAAGAAAGTAGGAAAGGTGCCGTTATACACCCAAACCATTGCGACGTTAGTAAACATAATGTTCTTGAGAAGATATAAATAAATATGTCCCGGACTTTCTCCAGTAGCGACCATTTCGTTCGGAAAACATTTAGTCAAAATATCAATGTAATTAGCGACAAATATATTATAGCATATATCCATTGAACGAATTTAATAAGTAGAATAAAAATGTTAGTGTGTCTGTAAGTCAACTAGTTAGTAGTGCTAGTACTCTTCTATATTATTAATTAATTTTAGGTCAATTGAATTATTTAGAAGATTCACAGACACTGCGGTTAAGACCGGAAAATTGCCCCCGCCCCTTTGGGGGAAAGAGTCGATACTTAGGACCCGGACGCCCAGCTCGGGTGACGTGTTTTTGCTTCTTTTTTAGCCGTATTTGAGAACATTGTGTTGACTGACGTCGAGATTGTTTGAGGATATATTGGGGATATAACAGCGCATTATCTACTAGTGTGAAAATAATTTATATCTGATAAAGTNTTTTTAGCCGTATTTGAGAACATTGTGTTGACTGACGTCGAGATTGTTTGAGGATATATTGGGGATATAACAGCGCATTATCTACTAGTGTGAAAATAATTTATATCTGATAAAGTGGTTCTCTTTAGTTATTATGAATACATTTATAGCGTTTAATATTCAAATGTCTTTCAATATGTATTTCAAAATAAGATTTTTGTGTAAAACGTTTGTTACAATCATTGAAATGACAAATAAATGGTTTTTCTCCCGAATGAATGGCGTTATTGTGTTGAATTAGAAATTGTTTTGATTTGAAACGTTTGTCACAATTTTCTTCATTACATTTAAATTTCCTTTCATTCAAATGAACACAACTTTTGTGTCGTTTTAAACTTTTTCTTTCAGTAAAACTTTTGTTGCATTCATTGAAATCACAAATATATTTCATATTTAAATGAATGCTATTTTTGTGATTAATTAAACTTTGTTTTCCGGTAAAAACTTTATTACAATTATCAAATTCACATTTAAAAGGTTTTAAACCAATATGTATTCGTTGATGTATATTTAAAATTGATTTATTGTGTGTAAAGTAATCACATTTAGGCCAAAGACAGGGATAATTGTTTTTCGTATTAAAATGAACAGTATTTTTGTGGTAATTTAAAGTTCGTTTAGAAATACACTTTTTGTTACAATTATTAATATCACAAATAAAATTTACTTTTAAATGAATGCTATTTTTGTGATTAATTAACTGATCATTGCTATTATAACTTTTAGTACAATTATTAAAATCACATTTAAATTGTTTTATTGATGAATGAATTAATTGATGTCGAGTTAAGAGTTGTTTATATTTTGTCTTGTATTGACATTTAGGCCAAAAACAGTGAAAATAATCATCAGATTTATTAATGATATGACAATTGTTTAGCATTTTATCA